CCACACTCCCAAGCGGCGCACTGTAGCAGTGCACCACTGGGCCGGCCCGGAAGTTGACAGTCTTAATGTTAGGCTTGCTGTACTGTGAAGCTTCTTTGCAGTTTTATTTAAAGCAAAAGTTCATAAGTATTTATCCTATTCTAACATGTGAGGCCTATGGAACTTCAGTAATTAACAGCTTGTTGTGTCATTTCTCTTCTAACTTGAATCCTGGCTGGTAAGCTGGAGCCAAGCAATATATCCTTCAGAGCTCCGTCCAAATTATTAGCACTAAATCAAATTGGACCATATCAACTGTTTATCCCTCATCCCACATATAAATAAGTCTTTATTAGTAACAGGTTGGAGCAGGAACTTCTCTCATTTTATTCATTTCCACTTGAGAACTCATTTCTTTATACCTGATTATTGTATGTTACTGGTAGTGATTTGTCCTTATTGTTATAATTCCTTCTTTTTCTAGAATTTTCTGAGTACTCAGTTTTCTATATCTACTCATTCCTGTTTATACAGATAGAAAAATATATTTGTACTTTGTAGGAAGGTATATGCACAATAAAAGAGCTAGATAACCATATACATGTATAGAGAAATATCCATTATTATCAGATATATACTTAAAAGAGGAAGTAGCCACCTATTTATGTCAGCACAATGTGGTAGTACATAATTCTTTTTAAGAGTTGCAGCATGAGTAGTTTGAAAACTCAGGTGGACATAAGACATGTATCACTTTTACCTATTAATGCCCACCTATTTTGGATCACTGGTCTAGGTGCTAATCCTTCTCTTGGCATCCAAAGTGTTGTACCTGAACTGGTGATGGTCAAGTAGGTTGGGCAAATGAGAATGAATTAGAGTTACTGGGGTAAGAAATATTAAGAATTTCTATTAGTGTTTTATATGACCCAGAAGGTAGGAGAAGTATGTTGGTTTCTTGATTATATCTATTCCTTTATGCATTCAGCATTTATTGAGTTCCAACTCTTTAACAGGATATTATGCTAGATATAAGAGTACAAAGATGAGTAGAACAAATCCCTGCTTTTAATGAGCAAATAGAAGAGGAGCTGACTGGCACATACAGAGATAACTGCAAGATAACATAGTGACTGTTTCTCTAACTGGGGCATGTCTATTCTGGGGTGGAAGTGAGGTAGTAGATGCTATAAGATAAACTTGATGCATCTTGTTGTCACTTAAGTTTTATACAGTGGTATGTAATTTGATACATTTCAATTTTATAATAAAAAGATATTATCAGATACATGGCAGAAAAGTCACTCAAACTTTAGTTGCTGAGGACAGTTCCTTCTGGCTGTGTCCCAGACTGTGTTTTCTTCTGGGAGGGATAGTGTGGTAGTAAGCTTGTTGAAATGGGATATGATTAGGATGCTTAAGAAAGGAAAGGAGGATGCTCTATTAGGGTTCTCCAGAGGGACTAAATCAATAGAATATGTTATATATTAGAAGGGCTTTATTAAGGGAATTAGCTTACACGATTGCAAAGGGAAGTCCCAAGATAGGCCATCTGCAAACTGGATGCTGTTAGCATGGCTCAGTCCAAGTCCAAAGGTGTCAAAACCAGGACAGCCAGTAGTGTCTTTGGTGTAAATCTTGGAACCCAAAAGCTGAAGAGTCTCAAGCCCTGATGTACATGTACAGAAGAGTGAATCCCAGCTCCCGTGGACAGATTGTTGCTTTGTGTTGCTTTGCCCCCCATGGATTTGTCACCCCTCTTCCCCTGGGTGACAGAAATGCAAAGGATTACTCAAAGCCCATCTCTTCTGAGCAGTGAGAGACCCCAAAGTGGTTAACTTCCCTGGAACCCTCCAGCGAGAGGGATCCCTTCCTCGGGAAATAAACTCCAAATTGGGGTTCTCTTCCTGCATTTATTTTCCAGACCAGGAAGTTACAGAAGAACATAGGTGGGGTTATAGTTTAACAATATAGGCTGGTAACTTTCAGTGAAACAAGCCAGATGACTTTCCAGTAAGGCTATCAACAAAAGCTTGGTCTTAGCAAACATTCCCTCTGCCTTTAGCAGTTTTCCAGCAACTTAAATATCAATCAGTAATTAATCTGTCTTTGAGCCAGCAACCTTGCCGTGCCCCAATTCTTATCTTGCAACAGAGACTCAATAGCCTGGGAAAAATTCCCTGTCCTTGCAAGGTCAATATTTGAAAATGTAAGGCTTTGGAAAACCAGGCCTTGTGAAGTACATATGCTTTATAATATATTCCACAACAGAGAGAGCCCTTTGCATTTTTTTTTTTGTTTGTTTTTGTTCTCTCCGGGCTCCCAAAGGACTGGATCGTTCCCACCTATATTGAGGGTGGATCTTTCTCCCCCAGTCCATTAGGCTCTCATGCTAATATCTAATGGAAACATCCTCATGTACACACCTAAAAAGACAGCTTTACCAGGTTTCTTGGCATTCCATAATCTAACCAAATTGACACCTAGAATTAACCATCACAGATGCTCTACTAGATTCTAGAATAGTTTTTTATGTATTGATAGACTCTTTCTCTGACTTAGCTTGTTGTCATATTATTTACTCATTTTGTTATACTATTTGTTCATTTAAATAAATTACCTTTTTTTTTAACAAAAGCTATTTGCTAAAACCCAGAATGTCCTCTTTCTGCTTATCTGTCAACCCATCTCTCATATTTAATAACCTCCCCAGATTCTCTCCTTCATGACTTGCTTTATTTGAACTTGATGATTTTTTTTTAAAGGGTTAAATCTTGTCATGTAATGTTAACTCATTTCCTTTTCCCCTAAACAGACTATAAATTTCTCCGTGTTGGAATTTTTAGTCTGTTGTATTTGCATATTTATGTTATGCTTCTGCCTTGTAATAGAAATGAAAACAAAAACATTTAGTATATTATTTCCTTCATTGAAATTTTTATGTAGGACATTTTTAGTTAGATATAAATGGAGCATATCTTCTGATGATATGGTAATCCTAGCCTTGTCATAGTTAATAGAGGTGATGATATTGTTTCTGGAATGCTGTGTAAGTCATTTGTTCAACAGATATTTGGGTATCTGTTATGTATTAGGGATTTACTTTAATCTTTAGGTCCCTGTGCTGTGTCAAAGACCACTGTTACTGTTATTCTCCATACCTTCCCTCCCCCCCCCTTTTTAAAACTTGTCTTGAAAGTAACAAATGTGAGATGAGAAAGTAGTTGAAAACGAGAGTAGGAAAACCTGATGGGTGTAGGGTTTTTTCTTTTTCTTTTGATAGGGTGGAGGGGAGTAGGTAGATGTAAAATTTAGCTTCAGTTTATAAAGTTGAAGTAAACTTTTAGTAATTTGGACATAGAATAAAAGAGGTACTTTCTTTTTAGGAATGATCTTTATAAATCATCCTCTAATTTCTTAGGAAAATTTTTTTTTTCTGTTTGTTAGAAGTAATGCATATTTACTATAGAAACTTGAATTAAAGACATCTACAAAGAAAACCTTTCCCATAATTATATGATCCAGAGATAAATACTGTTAACTTTGTGGTGAATGTCTTTTTTAGTTTATTTTAAATGTACACATATACATTTTTTTTAACAGAAAGGGGATTATATTGTATCCACAATATAGATAGTAATTTTTATTCAGCAATATAGTGATATAGTGAACAGAAGGGATTATATTGTATCCACAATATAGATAGTAATTTTTATTCAGCAATATAGTGATATAGTGATTTTTTTCTCATGTCAGTTTGATATTTTTCTGCAATTTGGTTAAATAGTATTTAAAGAGTTTTTTATTATAAGGTAACACACAATTGTAAAAGGTACAACATTACAGATGTATATATAAAATGTAAGAAAGGAAAAATTTCCTGTAATCATATTTCTCTAGTGAAACTATTAATAGATTGTTTTTCATGGCATACATATTACAATATGATATTTATTGGTTCTTTAGCATTGCATTGGGTTTATATTTACAAATATATTTAGTCAATTTCCTAGTGTTTAGGTTTTTTTTTTGTTAGTAGTGAAGGTGGTGATTTACTCATGCTTATTGACTGATTTTTGTCTTTGGTTAAGTTTTCTCGTTTTTTATTTTATTTTATTTTTTTTTAATGAGCTCTTTGTGTATTAAGGATATCAGGACTCCAAGAAAACTGATAGTCTGTTTGCTTAAATAAACCACAAGCTTTTGTTTTTCTCGTGTTGTTGTTATGTATTTAAATTGCAGAAACGTAAAATTTAGTATGTTTACAAAATTTTCTATCCAGTAGGCTTGTTATTCAAGTTTATTTTGAAATCACTTTTGTATACTATTGGTTCAACAGATGTCCTATGTATCTTTTTATGATGTAAAAATACAAGCTGAAATAAATTTAATTGTTAGATTATTTATGTTGAAAATGAGAAATAGAAGACTAACAGGTATTTGTGACCAGTTTATTACTTTTTCATTGATTAATCCTGTTTTATTTTTTCCCTGCCAATAGCTACAAGTGTATTCATCAGAGTTTGGAGGACAATAATAGATGCCCCAAGTGTAACTATGTTGTGGACAATATTGACCATCTATATCCTAATTTCTTGGGTAAGTTTTTGGGATAATTTTTAATTTTCAAAAATATTCCATCCATTAACGTGTGTACTAGCACTAATTTAGTCAGAAAACCTAGCTTAGAGGTAAGCAAGCCTCTTCTCTGCTGCTCACCAGGGTGCTTTCCTTTCCTTGGGTGTGACATAGATTCTATACATTGTTAGTACCATATTGTATTACTTTTAACTTTCATTTTAAAAACAACTGAACACAACTCTTAGATTCTTATGTTGATGGCTGGACAGGATATGAGGCTTAAGGAGAATACCAGAGGTCTAGAACACCTTTATGTCTCTTAATGCAGTATTGTGCATTCCTGCTACTTCTGAGGTGTAATCCAGGAAAGGATTAATGAGGAAGAGGAGCCTATGTTTAGTGAATGTTGAAGAGAAGGGGGGGAAAACTTGGGTATAAAGATTCCTAGGTAGGGGAAGATAGTCTGTGAACTGGGGCAGCAATCAGAAAGCAAGAACTGGGAAGGCAGGCATGGATGTAGGACTTGAGAGAAGAATGGTAAGAACTGGAGGAGACATGAATAGGGAACCCTTAAGTGTTAAATGGTAAATGATTGGGAATAATATCCAGTCAGTGGCTAATTGTGAATATTGAAAAAATTCTACAGGTTGAATAGCCTAAAATATTGTGGGAAACCTTCAGTCTGAATGTTTTGGGAATGAATAATAAGCCAAAAATTAATTTTCAGATATGGGTAGGCATGAAGTAGGCCACTATTGGGTGTTTATAAAAAGGTTAATTCTTCATTCTAAAGAGTTGACATTGCTCAGAGTTAGTATATGGTGACTAATTGTGTATTAGATTCTGACCTGCCAGGGCTTCAGTTGCAGTTTAATTTTGCTTAGCTCAAATGGTGGTTTATAAGAAATCATGAATTTGAACTTTTTCAGCTGTGGGTTTCCTTTTTATGTCTGCTTTAAAATTGCATTAGCTACAATCCTTTTTTTCTATGTCACTTTTCACTGCAATCCAGTGTCTTCATGAAAGTAAATCACTGAATGATAGCACAGCAGAAAGGAACCCTGAAGGAAATATTTTGAAGATTTTCTGCTGGAATGACAAATTTTTCTGAGTAGATGAAGTCTTACGGCAAACTTAGAGAAGGAACTTAGGGAAAGAACCAAGAGAGAAATATTGAGTGGTATGGTACTCAGCAGTACTAGACTCCGTGGTCTAGGTTAAGCAAAAGAGAAACCCATTTCTGCAAAGCAGAATCCTTTGTCCCTCGTCTTACAAATATGGACTGATGGTGGCCTGTGGTATCTAGGATCACTCCTCTCTCTCTGTTGTTAGAAGTTTGGAAAACTACTTCTGTGGTCAAACACAGAAAGGATTCTGATGTTCTGAAGATTTTGGTATTTACTAAAATTTTCAGGCAACATTCCTTAGTGACTCCAAAGGTTTGAAATTCTCTTATGTGAGTTTCTCGTGAGAGGAGTACGGTATACTAGTATGGAAGGAAAATAAAAATTTAGTACTGTTTAAGTTGGAAAGGGATTTATTACATTTATGTATTCTCAAACATGTATTCAGTGAATAGTGAAGTCACAATTACTGATATTTTAAACTGGAAATTATTTTGGCAGTGATCTAGTTTTAACCTTTTCTTTCTATGGACAAGAAATTTTTGTTTTAGGTAATTGGATGTAAGTGTTTTATGCCAGTATTTGATGTCTTTTAATTATAGTGCAGCTCCTAATGTGACTGTATATGTCAGCCTTGGAGGTAGCATTTTATCCTGCTATATATCTTTCTTTTGCCCATCACCCTTTGCAGTCTTTTGTACAATAATGTTCAAATCCTTAGGTTCCTGCATAGGTAGATAGGAACTGTGTCTCCTGTGCAGTCAGAAGAATGCCACTGAGATTTGTTGATCTATGTCTTCCTGAAAGTAGAATACCACTTTTTTTCCCATTCTGTATGAAAAAACTCAATTCTAATTTATTTCCATTGCTTCAGCTTGAGATTACATGATTAGCATAGTGCCTGCAATTCTTAGTTGGGTTAAGACCTTGGGCCTTTTAAAATGATTTTAAATTTCCTCTTGACCATGGTAAAGTAACTAAGCATATGTTACATAATTCTGAGGTATTCTCAGCAATCTTGCATCTTTTTTATTGATAGGTTAGGACCTTTCACTTTTAATGCTGTACATTTACCTAAGTCATTGGTAGAGGGCTGAGTCACACAATTTCTGTAGCAGTGATCTATAAACCTTTTTGCTTGTATAACCCATACAAAAAAATCTGAAAAATATGTACCTCCTCACACATTTTTAAGATTAACATTCAACATTTTTCATCATAAGTTTAAGTGATTATAAAGAATATAATTTCTAAAATATTATAAATATACTTATTTTAAAACAAAACTGTTTTATCTTTTAAAATGTATTCTGTGGAATCTAAATATAATTTGTTACTTAACATCATTGGTTTCAAAATACATAAATAAGCTTTTTATTAATGATGAGAAATTTTATTTATTTTCTCTGTGAACTTCTACTTAAATTCCATATCATCCACATAATTTTATCCTTATATAATGTATTTTCTCGCTTGAAATCCTTATTGATCTACCTGTAATATTTTCCTGTAACAGAAATGTATATAAATAGAAATTACAGACTTAAAAGTTTCTTTTGAATGTAATTTTCTATTAAATTTTAAGAAGTCTTAAATATTGTTTCTGGGTTGCTGTTTAATTATTTTTAGTATGTAATTGATCAAACAAACAAATATTACAAATTGTATAAAGTATTAGACATTAATTTTTATAGTGAATGAGCTGCTTACTGAGGTGCGTGGTGCCTTTCTCCCCAATTTGTTCAAGTGCCATTGATGATTATTACTAAAACAAGGACTTAGTTTCATTTGTATTTTTTGTTTTTAAAAGTAAGTTTTGAGAAACCTTGTTTACATAAAAAGTTGATGGGGATTGAAGGAGTGTTGTTAAAGCAATATCACTGAATTCTTTAACCTCTTTTTCAATTACATGCTAAAAAACACTTACTGACTTATTGTCCAAAAAAATTTTTTTTAATGCCTTCTTATTTATCAAATCAGGCCCTATCTTTAATTTTGGTGAGAGGAAAGAGTTGGAAGCTAAACACTCAAGATGGGTTTGGTTAGAATTCTGGTCATTAGAGTTGGGACTTTTTCATCAAGACAGTTTGATTTTTCCTTTCCTATTGTAAGCACTCCGTTACAGTTCCTCCTTCTGATTTCTTTTCCCTGCATCTCTTCTTCCACCTTCCACACCATTTTTTCTCATTCTCCCATTTCTTCCGTCCTCTCCTCCAGTGCACACACTTTCTGCTCCTCTCCATCTCCCTTGGTCTTGAGGGCTCTCCTCTCTTCTGATCCTGAAAGGGCTCATTCAGGGTTGAGGTGGGAAGCTCCCCCCGCCCCCCAATACACACACAGCAGGTGTTCTCCTCCACTCCTGCCAAGGTTTGCTCTGTAGCTTTTCCTCCCACATCCTCCTCTCTCATTTGAGCTGTCTTTCTCTAGCTCTCTCTGTGTATATATAAAATTTGTAAATTGAATTTTCATACTTTTTTCTCTAACGAATGATCCTCTTACTCATTAATGTAAAGGACAACATGCATGCAAAGTTTAAAAAAAAAAGTAGCTAACACATATAAAGTCTTTACTGCTTAAAGGCACTGCCTTTTTTTGATGGCCAGCCAGTACAGGGATCAAACCCTGAACCTTGGTGATATTAGCACCATGCTCTAATCAGCTGAGCTAACTGGCCCACCAAGCACTATATTAAGTGCTTTATGTACATGAACTCATTTAATCCTCATGGCAGTCCTATGAGGTGGGTACTTCTGTTATCATCCTCATTCCTCAGGTGAGTAAACTAAGGCACAAACACAAACAGGTTGAGTAACTTGTTTAAAGTTATACAGCTGGTAAGTGGTGGAATTGGGATTTGGTCTTACATAGTCTGGCTCAAGAATCTATGTTTTTCTCTATTATCCTGCAGAAATGTGTTTTCTTAGTACTAAGAAATGTTTGTTTTTAGTACTATGTATATTATAAAGTTTTAATTTAATTTATATTCACAAATGTATAAGCCATTCTTCAGGTTTAAATTTCAATTCTGGGAACTGATTATAGTTTCAAGTAAATGCTTATCTTGATTAGAAATATGAAAGTGTTAGCTAAAAAGTGGCATGTCAGATTTGAAATCCGAGAACATGTCATCAAGGTTTAATTTATTTATTCAGCAAACACTGAGTGCCTACTGTGTGCAGGGACTGTACATTGGTGAATAAGACAAGAGATTGAGTCATCAAATGCTTCAGTCTGTGGTATAAAAAGGAAGTTAGTTGGTGTGTTTTTCTGATAGCAAAACATTGCTTTTAAATTTTAAATTTGTAGATTACAGAATGGAATTCAGCATTTTGCTTTTCTTATGAGTTATGGCATAGTTTTTTTTTTTTTTCTTTTGCCTTTTTTCGTGACCGGCAACGGATCGCAACCCTCAGTGTCGTGCCCGTACCGGACCGGGACCTGCAACGGGATCGCAACCCTCGGTGTTGCACCCGCACCTCGCTCAGCCAGTGAGCAGCCGGTCTGTATGTGGGATCCGAACCCTCGGTGGGAGCGCCGCCGCGCTCCCAAGCGGTGCACTGTAGCAGTGCGCCACCGGGCCGGCCCTATGGCATAGTTTTGAAAGGATTTTCCTTATACGTATGTGATTTTGATGACTTCGATGTTTTGATATTTGAATGTTGAGTCCATACCTTGAATTTTAAGAGATGATGTTGGGTGGTTTTTCTTTGGTTGTTAAACATTTAAAGTACAAAAGTAATAAAATACTCTGATGAAGAAACAATGTAAGCAAAGTATACTTTAAAAAAAAAAACAAAAATAACTTTTATTCCCTAGGGGTAACCACTGTTCATCATAGGATACAGATTTTAAAGGAGATAAAATAAGCATTTTTTCAGGTAGCTAAGTGAAGAATCTGATACAGTAATAAAAACTTTAGTTTGGTAAATTTAAATGTCTTTATATATAAGTTTTGCAATTTAATTTTGTAGCCTTTATTTTTTATTTTTATTTATTTATTTATTTTTTAAAAGATGACCAGTAAGGGGATCTTAACCCTTGACTTGGTGTTGTCAGCAGCACGCTCAGCCAGCGAGTTAACCGGCCACCCCTATATGGGATCCGAACCCGGGGCCTTGGTGTTATCAGCACCGCACTCTCCCGAATGAGCCATGGGCCGGCCCAATTTTGTAGCCTTTAAAACCTTGATTGTTCTCTGTATTGTTGGTGAGAATCAAATACAATGGTATATGAGATTCCTTGGTAAAATGGATGTGGTATATGCATATAAAGTATTACAGTTATTTGATAGTTACAGTTCTCATTCAAATGCTTAAATCTGTAACTGAAACATTAAACTCTTTTTCACTTACTCCTCTTTATTCCCACTGCATTATTTCAAGCTCTCTCCTTTATCTTCTTTGGATTACAATAATAACTTTGTTAGTGAGGAACATATAGTTCAGGCTGTTCAGGCTCTTACAGACCAGGCTCCGATCTGCCTACATCTTCAGCCTTAGTTCTTAGCCCCTATTAATCATTCAAAAAATCACTCTGACCCTGTGTTTCAGCTATATCGATTTTAAATCATCTTATCTCCTGTAGTTTTATGACTTTGCTACACACACACACACACACACACACACACACACACACACACACACACTCACTCTCTCTCTCAGTTCTTTTCTGTTCCTCTTTCTGCTATATGAGTCCCTTTGTGCCTCTTATAGCCCAATTCTAATGTCACCTTCTTGTGGAGGTGACAAGATTCTAATCTCATCTTCTTGTGTGAAACCTCCTTGTTAACATTTTGATTGATCCCTGGCCTGTGTACTTTCTAAATCTGTTTTAGAGATAGTACTGATTATCACATTATGTTACAACTACTGCATCATATGTATCTTGCTTGTCTGACTTGCTTGAGGTCTTGGAATAGTGTTTTTTCAAAACTATTTATGGTTGCATTGTGGTATAGTGGAAATTACTAGACAAATATTATAGTGGAAATTATCATTAGTACCCCAATTCTGTCTTGTTCTAAATGTCACTGTGAATAAGTAACTTAAGCTTTCTGTCCTCATATTTCCTTATCTCTAAGTAGGGAAAATAACCTCTAAGATAATGTCTACAAAGTTTAGTGCCTACCTAGCCTAGTACTTAATGTCCCTTTTCTTTATCAGTTTTTTGTATCACTTAGTATGTGCTGGCTATAAAAACAAAACAAAACAACAAAAAGCAGAGAAATACAATTAAAAATGACGTAAACATTACAGAAGATGTGTAGATTCACAGGAAAAGATTTTCCAGAGCTAGTTAATTCAGTGGTTCAGTGATATCATCAAGTTCTTTTCATCTTTCTTTTCTTTCATTCCCAGCATATGCCTTGGTCCTTTGGCTAGTTGCTCTCAAGATGGCAAGATGGCTCTAAGCAGTTCCAGATATCATTCCCTCATGAAGGCAGGGAAAGAACTTGTTTTTCTCTTTTTCTTTCTGAAAGACAGCACACCTATCATTGGTCAAAAGTGGGTTGCATACTTAACCCCTCATCAATCACTGGCAAGGGTATGAATGGCTAGATTGGTTTAGGTTAATCAACAATCATAGTGTGGGTTTGGAGAAGGATCTAGCCTTTCTGAAAGTTATATTGCAGTCTGACACATGGAAAAAAAAATCATGTTATCAAGAAAAAGGGTAGGATGGATTTTGGATAGGTAAATGATAGTATCTTCCGTGGTATTTATAGAGAAGTTACAAACAAAAAAGAAGAACAAATAAAAATCATTAGTGCTTATCTCATAGTAGTTACTCAGTTACCTATGCCGGTTACCATGTGGGGCACGGGACGGTCTCACACAGTGAAGACATGTCTCTTTCCCACGTACCAATAGTGTTATCATTGCAAACATGTAAGAGAAAGTACATATTCTAAAGAATTCTTCCTTTTTTTTGTCTTTTTTCGTGTCCGGCAACGGATCGCAACCCTCAGTGTCGCGCCCGTACCGGACTGGACCGGCAACGGGATCGCAACCCTCGGTGCTGCGCCCGCACCTCGCTCAGCCAGTGAGCGGGAACCGGTCTGTATGTGGGATCCGAACCCTCGGCGGGAGCGCTGCCACACTCCCAAGCAGCGCACTGTAGCAGTGCGCCACCGGGCCGGCCCTAAAGAATTCTTCTGTAGTAATAGTAGTAGTAGTAGCTGCAGCAAAACTTTTCTAATTTGAGATAAAATGTAAGGCTAACATTTTCTGTTTAGCATTTTTTTAATTTTAGGACTTTCTTAAAGTTAAAATAGAATCCATCTAAACAGAATGATAAGACAATACATTTAACAAAAATACAAATTATGTGTGCTTTTTGTTTTATTTCTGCTTTCAGTGAATGAGCTCATTCTCAAACAGAAGCAAAGATTTGAGGAAAAGAGGTTCAAATTGGACCACTCAGTGAGTAGCACCGTATGTTTCAACTCTTATTACTACTTTAAATAAATTTCATTTTGTTTTTACTGATTTAATATTAATTAGATGTTAATACTTAGTATATTATAGATTTTTCTTAAAGGAGATTTGTTTAAGATCATTCTTTTCAAAGAAATAACATTCTTAATTGCATTGTCTATAATACTTTACTAGAGTAACTATCTTTTGAAAGGTCTGGTGGGATCGTATTGAGACAGAGTTAGCTTGTAATACATGGCATTTGAAGGATTATAAGGCAGATGAAAAAAATTTTAGGTATTTTGAAAAAACTGTTTAAAGATTTTCAATTTAAAAAAATTAACCCCAAATTATTGAGGCAAGTGAGCTTAAATTCTTTACCAAATGAAAATTTGTAAAAATGGCTAGACTAGTAATTAATATGCAGTCACTTATTTTGAAGGAAAATTAACTTTAGAGATTTTGACTTATCTTGAATGTGCCTCATATCTGTTACTTAAATTTATCTAAACGAGAAAAAGTGTTTAAATTATGAGTAGAAGGCAATGGGGAGCCACTAGCTGGGAAGGAGTAGGTTGGAACATTGTAATACATTTTTGATATCTATGTTAATAACCACGTTGGAAAGTTCTAGCAGTTAAACATTTGTTTTAGAGTCTCTGAAACAATATTCTTAGGAAGTTATTGTGTTTCTTCTTTTCTTCATTTTTAGAATGGCCATAGGTGGCAAATATTTCAAGATTTGTTGGGAACTGACCAAGATAACCTCGATTTGGCAAATGTCAACCTCATGTTGGAGTTACTAGTGCAAAAGAAGAAACAGCTGGAAGCAGTAAGTGGTAGCTGAACTTAAAACTTGTTTTAAATGGTGATTTTTTAATGCAATGAAAAAGACCTAGAAATGGTTAAAAATAATAGGGTTGTGTCACTAATTCATCCTTTTTTAATTGGCTAGAAACATCTGCAAAGTGTCACTTCTGCAGATTCCCCGTTTTCAGGTAAATGACAGAACAAATTCCTTATAATATAACTTATTTGCAGTGGCCAGTTTATATTAACAAAAGCTGAGTGTTAAAGATCATGAGGAAGTAAAATTTTATTTTAATAGGAAACAGTTATATTGGTTATCTTTCTTCTAATGAATATCTTCCTTGTCATATCTTCTCCTCTTCACACATGAAATTTGGAGGAGAAAATAGAGATTATTTTTTTCTACGTAAAATCCTTTTAACAAATGTCCATTGGTAGCAGCAGTGGTCTGTGGCTTAATTAAGAGCATTGTAAGAGATGTGTACTGTATCTCAGTATAACTTGTTTCACTACATGAAATGTAAATAAATGTAAAAAATATAAAATGTGAAATTGCATGTTTTAGGAATTCTGAACTATTATAAACAACACATACCTCAGCATAAGCAAATACCTATCCTGACCTAAACATAAAGGGGGTATTTATTGAGACAGTAAGGGAGTGAGTAGCTCACACATATGAAAAGGAAGAGCTGAGCAAGAAAAACTTGAGAAGATTAGAACCATGGCATGGCTTCTCTGGGGGACTACTACAAGTAAATGAGATCAGGGACTTAAATGTTGAGAGTTTTCTTTAGTGCATCTTGTGCATATATTGTTTGGACAGCTCTGATTTTCTTTTTCTCATAGATTTTTATCACATGGTGGATAATGTGGCCATCTGCAGCTCTTCATTTATATTTAATGTTTTTTGGTAAAAGAATAAAAGAGGTTTTCCTTTCTAACCTCAGTTTAGAAAATTCTGGATAGATTCTGATTAACTTAGCTTGGATATGGATCCCACTGAAAATAGGATGGGAATCTTTCTGTAGGAGAAAGGAGTATGTGAGGTTGAGTCAACTAAAATGAGTATCTCCCATGGTGTGTCAAGTGTGGGGGGAATTTCTCCTATGGTTTTAACTATAGTTTTTTGTTAACATCTGCTATGTGCCAGCTATTGTGTTAAGGACTGTGAATAAGATAGGGTTCTGCTGTGTGCGTGTGTGTGTGTGTGTGTGTGTGTAGGTAGGTAAACTAAATCAAGTAAGTAAATATTTTCACAGAGACTTCTTTGTTATAGATTGAACATATGACGTTACCTTGCTCCCTTTTGTAACTATGAAAATGGCAGTACATGGATTTTAGAGAGTCAAAGAAAATGGGAGAAGAGACAATGGCAGGAATATATTGTAAGCTAGACAGAAAATAGATGAAAGGTAATAGATTAGCAGATCTGAGAAAATTGAATAGTAACCCAGCAGTGGCGGGAAAGCTAAGAACTACCCCTGTTTATATTGTGGAGCAAAGGCTCTGGAATTGGGAGCATCAGATACCTCATAAAGTAAAGGCTGAAAACAGGCTGGGTGGTTGAGAGTTTGTTTAAGAAGTAGTTGGAATCCTGATCCCTTCCAGCTAATGATTATCCCTTTTCTACCATAGGAGAAACCTAGAATTTTTTATCCCCACCCCCACCAAGTGGTAAAAGAGAGATTCTCTGGACTGTTGTACAACAGGCATGCTTAAAGGGGTATAGGGGGGTAGACTGAAAATAGATAATTACACACTGAATGTGAGAACTATTAACCTCCTTCCTACCTTTTAATGTGCCAACATTAGTCTTTGGGGTTTTTTTGACTTTTTGTCTTAGAATTGCAGCAGTACGATTATCTTACTTTTAGATCATGTCCTTTTCTATTACTCTCTGAAGAGACAGCCAGTTCAGAAGCAAAGTTCCTATCATAGATTTTATAGCTTTTTTTACATTATTATTTTTTATTTTACTTTTTGTTGTTATTTAACTTGATGAATATTTCCAGCATACAGAAAAGTACAGAAAACAATATGAGACTCTGACATATTCCTCAGTTTTAATACATGTTAACACTGCCGTGTCTTAGATCTGACTTTTGAGAATTAAGTATATTTTTCCTTTAAGCCCTCTCATCTCATTTCTTTTTCCTAGAGTAACCACCATAAAAAGTAGGCAAGAATCCTTCTTAAGCATGTATATGCATTAAGAAAAACATACATATTAATATCTACAACCATATAAAGTATTGTTTGTATAAATCAAAAATTTACATAAAGGATTTCATACTGTAGTTATCCTTTTGACATATACCTTTTTGTCTGCTTTTTGAGGTTCATGTTGATGAATATAGACCTAGTTTATTTTAACTGCTCTATAGTAATCCTTTGCAGGAACATTTCTTAGTCTGTTGATGGGCATTTAGGTTCTTCTCAGTTTTTAGCTATAAGTGTCAGTACTGCATTTGGTCATACATGTCTCATTGTGCTTGCATGTATATACCTAGTGATTTTTTTTCAGGAGTGGAATTGCTGATCATAGGATGTGTGCATATTTTAACCTTATTAAATATTAAATATTGACAAGTTGTCTTCTGTGTGTTTGTACCATGTAAACACTTGGTATTTTCTCTCTCTCTCTTTTTGTTTTTTTTTAGTTTCTGCCAATCCGTTAGGTATCAAATGCTATTGTTTGTGTGTGTGTGTGTGTGTTTATGTGTTTGTTTATTTCTTTTTACATTTCTGGGATTACTAGTGAAGTTGAGAATTTCTTCATTCGGCCGTCTTGGTTTCCTATTTGATGAATTACCCATTCATATCCTATGTCCATTTTCCTAATGGATTGTCTTTTTTTATTTTTTATATGTAAGAAGTGTGTGTGTATGTGTTTCTGTGTTTAAGAGTGTATTTTGGATAGTGTTATTTTGCCCAATACGTATTTTGGTAATTGAATTCTAGTTGAATTGCATTGTGTTCAGAGAGCATAATTTACAGGATTTTAGATGGTTTCATTTTATCTGCTTTGTTGACTTATCAGTTATAACTTTTTGGTTTTTAGTGAATTGTTACCACATTCTACCTTCAAATAATAGTATGCTATTTCATCTGTATTTTAAGACTGTTATAACAACAGTATGCTTCCATTTTCTCCTTCCTGGCTATTGTACAATTTTTTGTCATATGTGTTTCTTCTACATATGTTATAAATTCCACAATACAATTGTTATTAACTGTGATTTAAACGATAAATTATGTTTTATGGAGTTTTTTGAAAGTCATATTTACCCATTTATTTACCATTTCTGGTGCACTTTATCTTTATGTAGATTAGATTTCCATCTGTTATCATTTTCTTTCTGTCTGAAGGACATTCTTTATCATTTCTTTAGTGTAGATCTGCTGGTGATGAATTATTTCTTCTGTGTCTGACAGAGTCTTCAGTTTCACCTTTGTGAAGTTAAAACTTGATAAACTTGATAGTTTCTATGAATATAGAATTCTAGGTTGACTTTTTAAAAGGTGTTGCTTCACTGTCTTCTGGCTTGCATTGAATCAGATGAGATGTCTGCTGTCATTGTTACCTCTTGTCCTCTGAATGAAATATATTTTGCCCAGTTTAAGATATTCTTTTTTTGGTTTTAAGTATTTTGATTATGATATGCATTGCTGTAGGGTCCCCCAGGGTCCCCCCACCCCCACCCCGCCCCACCGTGTTTCTTGTCATTGGGGTTGTTTGTACTTCTTTTTTTTTTTGACCAGGACTGGGATCACAACCCTTGGCTCGGTGTCGTCCGCACCACGCTCAACCAGTGAGCACACCAGCCATCCGTATATAGGATCCGAACCTGCAGCCTTGGCGCTATCAGCACCACACTCTCCTGAGTGAGCCATGGAGCCGGCCCCTTTGTACTTCTTGAATCTGTGGGTTTATAGTTTCCATCAGATTGAGAAAATTTTCAGCCATTATTTAAGTATTTTTCTGCCCCCTCTTCTACTTTGGGAACTTCAATTACACATCTGTTAGGCTGGTTGAAGTTTTTCCACAGGTCACTGGTGAACAGTTTTTTTCATTTGTGTTCAGTCTTTTTCATCTATCTAGTTCATTTTGGATAGTTCCTATTGCTATTTCAAGGTCACTCATCTGTTCTGCCTTCTGTGTATTTTCTTAACATGCTTATGTTTTTCTCTACCTTCTAGAACATATTTAGTTATTATAACTCTTTTAACATCTTTTAACTACTAATTCCATTATCTGTGTAATTTCTATATTTTTACAAATTGACTTTTCTCCTTATTATGTATTTTACTGCTACTTAGCATGCTTATTAGTTTCTTTATTGGATGCCAGAAATGGTAAATTTTAGCTTGTTCTGTGCTGAGTATTTCTATATCTTCCTTTATACATTCCTGAGCTTTGTTCTGACAGGTAAAGTCACTTAGAACCAGTTTGAATCTCTTGAAGCTTGTTTTTAAGCTTTGTTAGGTGAGACCAGAGCAGCTTTTTGTATACACACATTTGCCTGAGTATTCTATCTGATGCCTGTGTATTACAAGGTTTTCCACTGTGACTGCCAAGAACATGTAATATTTCTGGTTCTTTGTTGAAATTCATTGTTTTGTGTAGTTGGACTTGTGTTTTGTTATTCAATAGGATTATAAATCTAGTCACTCTTACTCCTTTTTAGCCAGAAACAGGAGCTCAATTTGTATGCTTTTAGTCCTTTGAAATTGATTGTGATTTTCATTATAGCTCAGCATACAGTGCTTTGTTAAATGTTGCACTTGCATTTGAAAACAATATGGTATTTATTGTAGTGCTTTATAAATATTGATTATGTAGAGTTGGTTAATGTTATTCAAGTCTTTGGTTTTCTTTGCACTGTCAATTACTGATGAGGTATGTTAACATTATAATTGTGATTGCTATTTTTCTTTTTTTCCTGAAATTTTTGTTTAATTTATTTTGAAGTCTTGTTATTAGGCGCATACATGTTTAGAATTGTTATTTGTTTTGGA